CAATACTACTGGTGGTTTAGCATGAATGAAAATGGCACTAAACTGTACTAGCAGTCCTGGTGTCCTTCACAACTCACACTTGTGGGGAAAAAAAAATCCAGTTTGACCTTAGAATTCCTCGACAAAGTCGTTAAAATAATTAATTTGATACTGATCCTCTTAAACTTACCTTTTTAATATGTATGAATGAATCACCATGGTAAATGCAAATTCACACATTGCACTACTGAGACATGATGGTATCTCAGAAAAAAAGCACTTTTGTGTTTGGATTGTAAACTGAATCAGCAACTTTTAAATAGAAGTTCAGTGTTGCTTGAAAGAAAGATTGACCTACAGATAGTGGGTTTCAGACTTGGGTACTTGGCAGACATTTTCTAAAAAATGCATGACGTGAGACTGTCACCTCAATTTAAATACATCAGGCTGGGCTGGGTGGCTCATGCCTGTAATCCTAGATCTTTGGGGTGCTAAGGCAGGAGGATTACTTGAGCCCAGGAGTTTGAGACCAGATTGGGCAACATAGTGTGAACTTGTCTCTACAAAAATCAAAAAAAATTAGCTGAGTGTGGGGGCACACCTGTCATCCCAACTGAGGCTGAGGTGAGAGGATTGCTTGAGCCCAAAGGTTTGAGGCTGCAGTGAGTTATGATTGTGCCACTGCACCAGCCTGTGCTACTGAACCAGATCCTATCTCTTTAAAAAAAATGTTGCCATAGTACATTCTGAGTTGTTTTTTTGTTTGAATTTCAGAAAATTTGTGTCTGCCGCCACAAACTTATCAATGACCTGGTACTTCTCAAGGCTTTTATGGATAAATTTTTGATAATATTAACAAATATCTTTAAAGATTATTATATAATAAAATGTATATACATTTAGAAAATCTGTATAACTCAGTGAACCAAAACTTTTCAAATGAACAATGTAAGATATTACAGAATCATCCATGAGTAAATGATCCACTCAAAGTGCAAGATAGACTAAAAAATTTTAATGTCACAGAACATAAAGCATCACTGGTATGATTTTAATGTCCCTAGATGTGAAACACCTAGCATCAGTAGAATCTTTAATGAAATGTAAACAGTTTTCAAAGAACCTTCTCTTTAACTCTAATTTCCTTTAGTCTGTCCACATGTTAGCAAGGGTTAGCTGACAAAAATAAAAAAAAAAATTAGCTGAGTGTGGGAGCACACCTGTCATCCCTGGTCAAGCTTTAGTCCGTGTCAAATTATTTGCCTCAACAGAGTAACAAACACTTTTTAGGTGCCATGAAGACAAAACCTCTAGGGTACAGCTTGTTTCTCAATGAAGTATCTCAGGGGTCATTCATGACATGAGATGTGATATTCAGGTGTGCAGCACATTTCTATGGTTGTGTTTAGGGGTGTGTGTAAATCCTAAGGTTGTGTAACATCTTTCCTTTCTCTGCTATTCAACAAAGCATAGCAGAATACAAATGATAAGAATAAACTTTTATCTGCTTTAATTTGTTTAAAATATAAATTACTATTCCATTTTACTTATTTTTGAAATACCCAAACATTTTACCTCACTGGAATTGAAAGCAATCGTAACGCACTCTGAACTTCTTGGGAAGAAACTAAGCTTTCCCTAAGAGATTCAAGAAACTAACCTTGAATCTCTGCACTTGGCACAGTGCAGGCACCCAAAACGTTTGTTGATTTGACTTGAACATTGTTTCCTATTCATGAGTATTAGCAATCTGCTTCCAATGACTTATGCCATTACATAAACTTCGTGTAAGTCAATTGTTTAACATGTAGGAAAAAATTAAATATAACCACAATCATGTAGCTTCTCAAGCTATTCTACAAGCTATTTTTCTGGTTCAGCTATACCAGAAATAATATAGCTGAACCAGAAGATGAGAACCAGCCAGAATTTTATGTCTTGAAAGTCTCCCTTACAGAAGACAGAATTTTAATTGTGCATAGACTGAGTTATGGACAGCATTTTAAATGAACGATGACTACCATCCATGTAAAGTTTCTCTTTGTGGCTTATTCTAAATGCGTAGGAAAGAAGATAATTAATTGCATGCAGTGGATGCCTAGGGTTACGAGGACTTAGTTCTCTCATATAACTCTGGTTGAAGGAGGCTAAGAAAGCTCCCTTGTCCAGATGCATTTATTTTGCTAATTTTGCTTCATTTATAGCCACCACTTTTTTTTTTTTTGCTATCTAGTTTATAATATCTAAGGTAGTATACATTTAGCTCTGTATGGTAACACATCTCTTTGTTTATAGTCTATCATCTTCCACTGGAATGAAAACTTCATGAAGACATATTCTTTGCCATTTTTGTGTTTTTCTTTTCTAAAAAATGATACATAACATTTGTACATATGTATAGGGTACGTTTGCTATTTTGATTCGTGCTTACAAAGTGTAATGATCGCCGGGCTCGGTGGCTCAGCCTGTAATCCCGCGCCTTTGGGAGGCTGAGGTGAGTGGATTGCCTGAGCCCGCGGGTTCGAGACCCGCCTGGGCAGTGAGATTTCATCTCTACAATAAATCAAAAAATCAGCCGGGCGTGGTAGCGTATGCCTGTAATTCCGGCTACCTGGAAGGCTGAGGCGGAAGGATCGCCGGAGCCCAGCAGGTCGTGGCTGCGGTGGCCGGAAGCGGCCACTGCACTCCAGTCTGGGTGACAGAGTGAGACTCCGACTCAAAAATAAAAAAAAAGTGTAATGATCAAGTAGAATATTTATTATCTTAAATATTTATCATTTCTTTGTGTTGTGAACACTTCAAATCTTTTCTCCTAGTTATCTTGGAATATACAATATATTGTTATTATAATTGCCCTACTGTGCTATCAAACGCTAGAACTTATTCTTTCTATCCAATTGTATGTTTGCACCCATTAACCAACCTCTTTTTATCCTTCTGTTCCCCTTAAAATCCTTTTCAGCTTTTGGTACCATCATTCTACTCTCTACCTCCATGTGGAGAAAAGAGAAATCTTATACACTCTTGGTGAGAATGTAAATTATTACAGCCATTATGGAAAACATTATGGTGATTTCTCAAAAAACTAAATATAGCACTACCATTATAATTCAGCAATCTCACCACTGGGTAAGTATCCAAAATAAAAGAAATTTAAGGAACACTTGTACTACCATACTTTCTTTAGCAGTATTCACAGTAATCAAGATATGGAATCAACCTAAGTATCCATCAGTGAATGAACAAAGAAAACATGGTATACATACACAATGAAATATTATTTTCCCTACTTTATTATCTGTTTAGGGCCTAAAGTCTTGAAGATTGCCTGACAGTAATTGGAAGCTTAATAAATGTTTTCTTAATGAATCATGAAATCAATGACTTTCCATGTTCCTCCCAAGTAGTGTATGAGAGTGATGGGATCACTAGGCTATATATATTTTTTTTTTTTTTTTTTTTTTTTTTTTTTTTTTTTTTTTTGGAGTTGGAGTCTCACTCTGTCGCCCAGACTGGAGTGCAGCAGCCGCTCCCGGCCACCGCAACCTTGACCTGCTGGGCTCCGGTGATCCTTCCGCCTCAGCCTTCCAAGTAGCCGGAATTACAGGTGTGCGCTACCACGCCCGGCTGATTTTTTGATTTTATTGTAGAGATGAGGTCTCGCTGCCCAGGCGGGTCTCGAACCCACGGGCTCAGGCAATCCACTCACCTCAGCCTCCCAAGGCACGGGATTACAGGCTGAGCCACCGAGCCCGGCTAGGCTATATTTTAAAAACAGTTTTATTGAGATATCAGTGACATATGAAAATTATACACATTTATGTTGTACAACTTGACATTTTTATATACATATACATTGTAAAATGATTACTACTATTAAGCTAATTAGCATATCATTACTACTACTTAGATACCATTTTGTGTGTGGTGGTAAGATTTAGTTGAAGGTCTATCCACTCAGCAAATTACAAGTGTACAATAAAATATTGTTAACCATCATCAGCAGGTTGTGTACTAGCCTTGGAGTCTCAGTCTATGACTTAATACCCCAACTTTGCCCTTGACTTTCAATTTTGTATTTTTGCTAAGTCACTTAGCAGCTTCAAGCCATAATTTCTACATGAGAGTACTCTCATTATATTAAACCCTTCAAAAAATGTAGAAATAAAAAAATATCAAATTAAAAAAAAACTCTTATACCTATGCTATGAACTATAAGTATTTCTACTTTAAATATTAAAATTTTTTGAACCTTATATAAGAATGTAAACACTTTATATAATAGTGATATACTACTATCACTGTCCTTAATTAATGGATAGGTCTAACTCATAATTAGCACTCAGTAAATGGTGGTTATGATTGTTGTATAAGTATTTCATAGCCTACCCTTCCAAACTTGAAACTAAATGTCTTTTTTCTGCTAGTCACCCTTCCCAGGGATGGATTCTGCTTTTAAAATATGTTAGGTGCTCAGACTTTTCTTTTCACCTCAAAGGAACAAATTGCCTTTCTTTCAGAATATTATAAAAGCTTCAGTATATCTTTTTAATAAAAACTCCAATAACTTCAGGCATTATTTTGCATACCCCATTTTGTACCTTTTGTAACTCAACATGCAATCCAGGCTCCCCTTCTTATTACTCCATTTTGTTTCTGCTCTCTGTCCTCCAAAGTTATCTTTGGCTCTTTGGGGAGTGGGAGTGGGGTGGGAGGGAGGTGTGACACTTGTCTTTGCCGAACTAGTGACCAATTCAAAGAAAAAAGAAGGACCTTTAGCAGTAGGTTAAAAAAATGCAAAACTGATCAATTATTTTAATTTTCAGTTTCTTGTTCTGATATTTTAGTAGACACAGATTCTATCCAAACACCTTTTCACAGAAAAAAAGACCAGCTGCCACAGCAGAAGCATATAATACCCTTAGCACTTGTAACTATCATATAATTACAAGGAGCTCTTTGACATTCTGAGAACCTGAAGAACCCCCGAATGTATAATAAGTAATAAGTTGCCTACTCACGAGGATATAACTCAAGGAATCCACCCATGTCTGTTGGCTTGGTGATGTTGAGCTGCTGCAGAATATTCTGATCTGTTTCATACTGAACAAATAGTCCAAATAAAACAATCATGGCCAACTCCAGGCCTATGGCCATGAGAGGGAATTTGAACCTCATGTTTGTGGCAAAGGACAGAGGCACACTGAGGGCTTCACAGGCTGTGAGATACTGATAAGAACAAAGGACTGCTCTGTGTGTGGATTTAGGCTGCATGTTCGAGGCACTCCAATGACATCACAAGAAAAAAATGGGCAAGACTGTTTAATGCTCCACCCATTGGGGAAAATTATGCTCTGTAATCTATTTTTGAAAATGTTGATTTGAATAATATACAATGAAGTTGGTAGAAGCCAGATGATGGAGATGATCTATTGCATAAGTGCCTAGAATCCTATTTAATCTAATTCAGCAGATAATCCTATTTAATCTAATTCAGCAGATACTTCTTGAGTACTTATTGTATGGCAGATATTGTGCTCAGTTTTATAGGAGACATGAATCCAAACAAAATATAAAATGGGTCTATTAATTTCCTTGAGGAAATTAAGAATCCAGCTGGAAAACATAAATGTAAGCAAATAATTGTATAAAAACAAACAGGCAATATAATAGTGGCTATAAAAGTATTAGAGAACATAAGGCAGCAATATATTTTACCTTAGACCAAGAACACTAGCCTGTGAAATGATATGGACTTGGGGACTAAAAAAAACCAATAGACCTTAATAGTAAAACAGATAGAGGAACCAGCATAAGGCTTGGAATAACATTGCATGTTTGGGAAATAACAATTAGTTAAATAAAGGAGGAATACAAAAAAGATAGGGAGAAAAAGAGGGAGTGGTAGAGATGATGCCATTATGGTAGCTGGGCTGGGTTGTAAGGACCCTCACGTTCAGTATTATAAAGATTTTAGATGTTGAACATTATCGCATGGGCAACGGGGAATATACAGCACTGTAAGAAGAAATTTTGTGGACTTAGGATGTTTTTCTTGATTCCTTATTCTGATGTACACAAATGTAAATATACAAGTATACAATTACTTTGGTATATATGTTTTAGTCTGAAAACAAGAGAGAGTGAATTTAAACAAGGACGTAGCTAATCCACTCTCTTGACAGACAGATGTAGAAAAGATGTTAAGCAATTCAAAGCTACCAAATGGGAGGAGGAGTTTTTGCCTCCATTCTGGAATTGTTCTCACAGCAGAGTAGACCTGTTTTTAAGAACTTAAGAGCTAGCAGTTTAATAAAATTCCTCTCACAAAGCCCCATTTCCAAAAGATTAAGAATATGGAGGAGAGAGAACACAAATGATTGATTGCTAGGCCAAAGTCCACATCATAACAAATGTTTATAAAACAAAGCAGCAAGCCTTTTTTTGTCTTCCTGTTATGCTTTTAAACGATAGAACAGGATATCTTAGGACTAAATGATCTCTGAAATGTTTTAAGTATACAACTCAAAGACTTTGAAAGTGGCCATTGTGCTTTTACAACATGACCCAACAGGAGTGGGTTCACATGCTTAGCCACGGGAACATACATGTACAGCTCTAGTTTTTGGTTTTCCAATGGTCTAAAAATGTTTATAAGAACTCCAACGACACCCCAAATGAAAAGTATTTACATTAATAAACTATACATAAGCTTGTGAAGAACACACAATAAATTATACATTGTAAGAACATCTAAACAATATCATAAATCAACGAAGGTTTTAAACTATTTAATAAAGTGATATATTAAATAACATAAGACCCATGGCATCTCTCTGCTCTGTGCCATTTCCAGAGGCTCAGCAATTACTTAACACATGGAGAGTAGAAGATTTTCTCCATACAGGTGATGAGACTGCTGTAGGTCTTGACTTCAGTTCACTTTGAGGGGTATAGATTGGTTGCCCTTCTTATGAATGTAGACCTTTGTATTGAAATAAGTGGGCTCATGCATCATTTGGGAAAATTATTATTTCTCTTGTTTAGCTCTTTGCACAAGCGTTCACTCTAATTGGAGCACTCTTCCTACAGGTTTCTCCCAACCTTCTGCACATATCATCCTTTCATTTTCAGGTAAAACTGTCACTCCCTCAGAAAAGCCTTCCTTAACCCCCATTTTTTGTTTGTTTGCTTTATCTTTTTTAAAAAAAATGTATTTTAAAGATGTGGGGTTCAATTCAAGATTAGGTATACAAGTGGTCATTGCACAGGTACAGGTAAAGTTTGAACCTTCCTTTGGTCCCCACTTTGCCTGGTTTGAGATCAGGTACCCTTATTGATGTTTGTCTCCCCATGCCCCCACCACCACCCCAGCGGTGTCCCGCTACAGCCAGTCCTTTTCTTATAGTATTATGGTAAATATTCAGGGTCTGTTTATGAGTGAGAACATGTGGCACTACATTCTTTGTTTCTGTGATATGTCACTGAGAAAATAGACTCTTAATCCATCCAAGTTGCTGCGATGTCCATACGTTTGTCCTTCTTTACAGCTGCATAATATTCTATTGTGTATATGTACCACATTTTTTTTATCCAGTTCAGTTTCGATGGGCACCACGTTTGGTTCCATGCTTTTGCTATTATGAATAGTGCTGTAATAAACATGCGTATGCAGGTATCTTTTTTTGTAGAATGATTTGAGTTCCTCTGGGTATATTCCCAATAGGGGGATTGCTGGGTCATATGGTAGATCAATGTTTAGTTCTTTTAGAAATCGCTACACTGTTTTCTAAAGAGGTTGCACTAGTTTGCATTTCTACCAGCAGTGTAGAAGCATTCCTTTTTCTCTGCTTCTTCGCCAACATCCGTCGTTGTTTGTTTTATTAATGATGGTCATTCTTACTGGGGTCTAAACCCCCTATTTTAAACAAGTTTCACTATTCTCTCTCATTGAATTGTGGTCTTCTCTTTTCACTTAGCATAGTTGACTATGTGTGCTCTATTTATGTGCTGGTTTTTTTTTTATGTTTGGTTTCTAAAAATGGCTGTTTCCCTTACTGCCGTTAGCTTCACAAGCAGAAGATTGGTGTCTCTTTCGCACATTTGTTATCTAGAGTCAATACTATGTCTAGAACAGTATATAATTGATAAATATCATTTGAGTGAGTTGAATTAAGGGCAGACTTGAAGGGGGGAAAAACTCAGAAGGCAGTTCAGTGGTATGAGGGAGGGAGAGAGGAACAGCCTTATCTTAACAAGTTGCATTTTAAATTACAGATATGCAGAATTCTGACAGTAACTTTCATATTGCAGTCTCGTTATTTCAATCAGTGAGGGCTTATCACCAGAATCTCTGTGCCTGGAGCAAAAGTAAGGATCAAGCTCAAACCTTGAAGCTTGGGAAGACCAAATATCTGGCAGATAGACACATGGTAGTGCGAACCTAGAGAGTCCAATAGCCTTTCAGAAATTTCTCTCCTGATAGTTCTTAATCACAAAGACAGCAGACTGGAAGGTGTAGGTGTTCTAAAGTGGAAATGAGTTACCTGTTTTGTTGTCTGCTCTGAAACCACAAGACCAGCTGTCTTCTAGTGCCATCAATAAGTGAGGTAAAATCAGAAAGAATCATGAATGGGGAAGCCATGTTCTCAGCAAAAAAAAAAAAAAAAAAAAAAAAAATATTATTATTTAAAATTAACCTCCAAGTACCCAGCTAGAGGCATAGATACAAGTGAGGTATTTCTGGGTAAATGCAGGAGCCAGTGGGTTACATGGGATCTTAGATTGAGTCTTAACTTGCTGTGTGACTTTAGGAAAGTGACAGAATTTCTTTATCTTAATTTCTGAATATATATGAAATGTGGCTACAGTTAAAATTAGGAACTTTGAGTTTGTTTCTTTTTATTAGCAAAGAGTGATTGAAATAGAATTACTGCTGCTTTTAAATTATCTCTCTCTTCACCTTTGTGTATTTGCAATGGCTGGGAAGGGTGTGGCAGGAGGTATTTAGGAAAACGAGAGTACTACAATATTTTGATTTTCAGCATTTTCTATGTTCTGGACACTGTGTTAGGTGTCTACATACCTACCTTGCTTAGTCCCACAGAAACTTGACATATTTTGATATTTTGCAAACATGACTTGCTCCACTGGTTTAAATATGTAGTTACTCAAGCACCCAACTGCCATATGGGTAGCAGCTCTAGTGACTCCTTTTTGATGTTGCTTTATTGTTTTACTTCCAATCAGAAGCTCTGGGCCTCATTTAGTCTAATAGGATGATCAGTCCAATCTTCCCAAGTGGGAACAGACAAAAACATTTATTGCTGTTGGATGATATCTGGTGACACAGAAAAGGTCCTCCTCCTTCCCCCAAACACTGTGAGTGTCTTTTCAGGCTGCTCTGAAGCCCTGTGCTCTCCCTTAGGGCTTCCTCTCCAGCATCCCTGGTTGCACTCAGCATTGTTCCACGGAACAGTGGCACAGAGCAAGGCTACAGGATCAGAGAGAGCAGCACCAGCATTTCCGAAACAGTTGTCTGGGGCTTAGGAACTTGTCTTAAGCAAAGGCTTCTTATATATATTTTTGTGTTACGGACACTTTTGGCAGTTTGTTGGAGCCTCTGAATTCCATATCAAAATATATTTTAAGTGCAGAAAATAAAATACATAAGATTACTAAGAAAACCAGTTATATTGAAATATACCGATCAAAATACTATTATAAAACCCAGATGGTTGATATTGGCACCTCTGTCTAATGCATAAAATAACAAGATCTAGTGACATGTCTAATAGCTAGTACAATTTCAAAGTAGGCGTAATGAGTGTAAACAATATTTTGAGATATCTGAAACAAGTAAAATAGGAGAGATAATTATTTGTGATTTCTATCAGTGACAAAGTTATAAACATTATTAATGATATTGTTGTTTATTTGCTACAATCACAATAGAAAAAAACACTAAACCAGTAATGCACTTTTTCCCCTATTCAAATATATGGACCACTTGAATTCTATTCATAGAATCCCAGGTTAGAAATGCCTATTTCAGGCCAGATTTAGGGGCTCGCACCTGCAATCCCAGTACTTTGGGAGACTGAAGCAGGAGGATCACTTAAGCCCAGGAGTTCGAGAACAGCCTTGGCAACTTAGCGAGACTTCATCTCCACAAAAACAAATATCTAAATAATAAAAAATAAATGCTTATTTTAACTCTGGCCAACAGAGTTCTCCTTTTCTTTAGTTTCAGG